GGGGGGTGTGCGAAGAGAGGTGTGTTTTTTCCTTGTCACGTTACGAACAATTTGTTCGCAAGAGGAAGTGACTGGAGAGAGAAAAACAGATCTAGAAACTTAGAAGTTGCCAAGGAGTTGAACGAGATGAAGGGACTTGGGCGATGTTTTGAGAAGACACTTCTTTCTAAGGGCTGATGGTGGAGAAATAGGAAAGGCCAGTGCCTCTGGGAGGACACTGCTGGTCTCTTGATTTTGACTAATCGTCTTGAGGGACAGCACAACTTTGCTTCCAGGGAGTTTGAAGGAGCCTCTCCCCACCGCTGGGACAGAGGGCTCCCAGTCCACCTCTCTCACTGCGCGGCGAGAGAGCAGACCTCACGGAGTCCAGCTGGGGCCTGAGCCCGGTGCCCTGAGCGGGGCCTCCACCCTCTCCACGGTCCATGTCACTCTGAGTCAGTGCTTCACTTTCCCCTCTTGACGGGGTCTCACCGGATACATGGATACACACCCGTGGGCTGCATGCTGGTCCCATCAAATGAGGTCACCTGGGACCTGAGGTCACCTTTCATGGTTACTGCCGCTCAGGGTACCTCTTGTTTTTTTTTTTGAAACATGGCTTAATTTTCTGCATATAAAAAACTTGGTAAATACAAGCATGCCATCATAGGGTCCAAGCATGATTTCAAAAATTTCGAATTGTGATTCTGAGATAAGTATGTAGTGACCACGGGTCACTGGTTCACGGATGGCTTATTTAACTCAGCAGCAGGGGAGCAGGATTTTAATTTTTATTTATTTGTTTTTTAGGGGAGGGAGGTAATTAGGTTTATTTATTTACTTTTGGAGGAGGTACTGGGGATTGAACCCAGGACCTCATGCTTGCTAAACTGCTTGCTAAACTCATGCTCTGCCACTTGCGCTACACCCTCCCCCCAGCTGGTTTAATGAGCATTTGCGAACAGACTGATACAGTCAGTTGGGAAGGAGGTGCTGGGGTAAGCTTGATACAAGATGCAGAATTGGGCTACGCAGCGATGGTGTAGCTTTGGGGCCTCAGCTATTTCTTCTTCACTTACCTTTACATTTTTAATTGATATGTTATTCTTTTGTCTCTTGATTCATCAATTTAATTTAATTTTGTGAACATTTATTACTGAAAATTTCAAACGGACAGAAGTGGGGAGAACGGTGCAATGAACCACCCTTCCTGTGCAATCATCACTCACCTGGGACCAGTCACACTCGGGCTAATCTTGTTGTGCCTACCGGCCCCTCCCCCTGACACACACACGCGCGCACACACACACCTGCCCCAGATGATTCTAAAGCAAACCCAAGACAGTCTATTATTTCATTCATAAATTTCTAGGAGAAAAAGATACGCTTTGTCTTACCACACTGTGGTACAACTTTCTCACCTAGAAAGTGCAGAGTTGCAGGGTTGAATCCTGTCGTGCTCCAGTTAAAAAAACAGAACCTAGCCAGGATCTGAGCAGCCTTCGGGACCGTCATGTGGCGGCTGTGCGTTCCCGGGAGACCGCCAGCTCCGTGAGGGCTGCGCCGACCTTGTGCACGACCGGCGGTTTCTCTGACCCCCACACCGAGGATGCCCTGTGAGTCCTCCCCCTCTGACTCCGGATGTCCTGAGGACAAGCCATCCTCAGCCCCATCACCCGAAACCAAGTCCTTTCCAAGCTGTATCCCCACTGCCTGCCGGGCTCCTCTTCTTGCTCTAATAAACCGAACACGCTTTCAATGAAAGCAGCTGGAATTCTAATTGTTATCTTATTAGGACTTAACTTGTCCCCCACATGATTATCCCAGCTGGCAGTTCTGGCCATTAGGGTCACGTGAGCGGTGCTGCGAACACCCTGGAAGATGGGATACAGCTGGTCTGGGTGGGTAGGGCCCAGGCACTGGTTTCTTAAGGGTCCCCATGGTTCTCACAGGCACCTTTAGGGGAGACCACTGTCCCGCCGACCCGACAAGCACTGACAGTGTCAACAGCTTAGACAGGACGGTCAGCAGAGAGAACTATTTCACAAGCCCAAAAGTGTTAGCGTGACCCAGTTTTTCACTTTTAAGTTCAGGCAACAGCTGGGGCCAGACTATTAAACCAGCAAGCACAGCTCATTGAAAACCACGAGAGGTTCCCTTTCCCAGTGAGATGGGGTGGCTCACACTGGCCTTTCCAGCTGCCTGTGTCCTGCAGATGATGCTTCAGAGGTCTTCAAGGCAGGCTGGCCCTGCGGAAGGGTGAAGACCACCTTTTCATTCCTTCTACATCTCACGATAAAACCTGCTTTCCCAGGAGGCTCTACAGGCCAAGTGGAGGAGCTCCGTGGGGGCTCCTGGCTATTGTGGCTTAAATCGGACTTAGTGGGGCTTCTCACATGCACGGGCAGGGCTGGTAGCAGAACACTAATGACCCCAAGGTTCCCATCCCCTGGTGGGCATGCCCTTTATACCCCCTACCCCCACCCCAGATTTCCAGCAGAAACTGTGACTGTGATGGGACAGCATGCCTGTGAGTAGGTTACTGATCAGTTGACCTGAAGTTAATCAACAGGCAGAGAATCCCGGCGAGCCTGGCCTAATCAGTTGAGTCCTTCAAGGGACTGAGCCCTTCCTGGAGTGAGAGGTTGGAACTCTGAGGGGCCTGCAAAGGGGGCCACGTGGCAAGGGCATGAGGGTAACCTCCAGTAGCAGAGGGTCATCCCCAGCTGACAGCTAGAAGGACAATGGGGACATAGTTCTCCTGTGATCTCTAGTAAGTACATTCTGTCAACAACAGAGGGATGTGTGGATGTGGGTCTTTTCTCAGCTAAGCCTCCAGGTGAGGACACAGTCGGCTGAGAGCTTGATGGCAACTCGGAAATCCAGGATCAAGCTGACATGTGTTGAGCTCGATGGAAACTGTGAGGTCAGAAATGTTGGGGTTTTGTTGGTTGGTTTGTTTAGGTTTATTTGTTACAAAATATACACATATGAAATTGACTATTTTAATCATTTTAAAATATACAATTCAGTGGCATTAAGTAGTGCTGTGCAACTGTCACCACATTTTCAGACATTTTTCACCATCTCAAACTGAAACTGTCCCCATTAAACCGTAACTCCCCACTCCTCCCTCCTTGAGCCCAGTGACTTCTGTTCTAGTTTCTGTCTCTAGGAATTTGTCTGTTCTAAGTGTGTCACATAGTGGAAACCCCACAGTATTTGGCTTTTTTAAAAAACTGTATTTTATTTATTTATTTATTTATTTTAATGGAGGTACTGGGGACTGAACCCAGGACCTCGTGCACGCTAAGCATGCACCCCACCATTGGGCTGTACTCACCTCCCTGTTTTTTTGTGTCTGGTTTATTTTATTTAGCATAATGTCTCAGGTTCATCCATGCTGTGGCATGTGTCAGAATTTCACTCATTTTTATGGCTGAAAAATATTCCAGTGCACGGTTAGACCACATTTTGTTTATCCATTTACCTGCTGATGCGCATTTGGGTTGTTTCCACCTTTTGACTATTGTGAATAACGTTGCTGTGAGCATGAGTATACAAGAATCCATTTAAGTCCCTAAGTTGCTAAGGTTTTTGGTAATTTGTTATGCAGCCAAAAAAAAAAAAAAAGAATACAGAAGGGAAACCAGATTCTAAAAGGAGCTCTTCATTTGATGTGCTGCATTTGTAGATCATAAACCCTGAAATGATCTCATTATCTTCACAATCGGCAAGGGTGAGGAAGACTGAGCTGAAACGACCCACACTGGGTTCTGAAACACACCAGACAGCAAATGGTCCCCAGCACCCACTCCCCTTCCTCCAGACCGACGTGAAATGTCCCTGAGACCCGGGGCCTGTGCTGGGGACAGCCTGCCACAGAGTCTGCCCTCCATCCTCGGTCGGTCAGGGCTCAGTCTGAGCTGGGACCTGCAGGCTCGTTCGTGGTAATAGCTCAGTAATGGCAAAGGTGAGGGGTGGCCACTGTCCCTCCAGCCTCAGTTTCCAGAATCAGGAAGGGCTCCGGGTTCCGGTCCTTCCAGCCTAACCCATCCAGCTGACCTACCAGGGAGCCCATCCTTCCAGCTGCCACCTCCCCTCCACCCGTCAGCCTCCGTCCTCCTGGCTCCCCTGGGTGCTGAGGTGGGTCCATGCCGTTGTACCCTCCCCTCCCGCAGAGCGCCCTCGCTGCCCTGTCCGCGGGGGAGCGCTGAGGTTTAATCACACATCAACAAGCAGTGACCGTAGACGTCTTAAAGCGAATATCTGCTGACTGTTTATGATACAACAGGCACTTTGCTAGAAATAGTTGAGGTTGTCCAGTTATGTCTCTGTCTATAAATGACAAACTAAGCTTTGGGGAGGTTGAGCAACTTGTTCAAAGGGATGGCCGTGGATCCAAAGATCGTGTGGTCACGACTGACATCTGAGACCCTCCATGGCAAGCTTTGGACTTGGGCAAACGGGACATCTGGGGAGACTGAAGCAGGAGCAGTTTCTCAGAGAGGGAGAGAGACAGGAGCCCGGATGAGGGGCTGTGCCGGAAGCTGTGGGTCCCAGTTCTACGCCAGCTTGACTGCGTTCAGTTCTTGGGTGTGTGTACAGGACATACAGGAACTGGCGCTAATATGAGTAGATTTTCCTGGTAACAAAATTGTCTTAAATAAAATAAGCTAATATGTACCTGTCTCATTATATTTTGCATGTTTTTTCCCTTTTGCCTAAGAGCTTCCTCTGCGTTTCAAACAGCTAGGGGGAAAGCCCATAAAAGCAAACTAAAACTATTCTTGCTCTCAACACGAAGCAATTAATGAGGTAATCTGTTGCTAATCCATCCATCTTTTTTCTATATCTAAGTATTTTATGAGATGTCATGATCAGCACCTGTGTTTTTATCTGCATGAACTCTAGATCACTGACGTCTTTGAAGAACTTTTGGTGGCTGCATAGGTTTCACTGAATAAATGAACCATAGTTTATTCAATCGTGAACCGTCGCGTGCCTGTGTTGTTTGTGCTGAGATCAGCACCACCGTACCACTCAGAAATACACCAGCAGTCGGCACCCACTGGTTGATAATTGATGAGACTGTTTTCTGGAAAGGAAAATCCAGATTCTCACATGTTAGTGCTTCTAATCCTGGCTACAGGCTAGACTCGCTCTAGAAGGCTTTTTAATAAGTACAATGGCTGGGCGCAACCCCAGAGCTTCTAATCTAATTGGCCCGGGTGCACCTGCCAGAGGCATGGCTCGTATAGCTCTCCAGGTGATCCTAATTTGCAGTCAAGGCTGCAAAACACCGAAAAAGGCTGTCTTTATAAAACAGGTGCTTGTTCATGTCTTTTTATTTTTAATTGAAGTGTAGTCAGTTTACAATGTTGTGTCAATATCTGGTGTACAGCACAATGCTTCAGTCATACATAAATATGCATATATTTGTTTTCATGTTCTTTTTCACCATGAGCTACTATAAAATATCATATATGGTTCCCTGTGCTCTACACTATAAATTTGCAAATCTGAAAATCTTGAACTCCCAATTTATCCCTTCCCACCGCCTTCCTCCGGGTAACCATAAGTTTGTTTCCTATGTCTGTGAGTCTGTTTCTGTTTTATATATAAGTTCATTTGTCTTTTTTTTTTTCAGATTCCACGTATGAGCGATCTCATATGGCATTTTTCTTTCTCTTTCTGGCTCACTTCACTTAGAGTGACATTCTCCAGGTCCATCCATGTTGCTGCAAATGGCATTATTTTATTCTTTTTTATGGCTGAGTAGTATTTCATTGCATAAATACACCACAGCTTCTTTATCCAGTCATCTGTCAATGGACATTTAGGTTGTTTCCATGTCTTGCCTATTGTAAATAGTGCTGCTATGAACACTGGGGTGCAGGTGTCTTTTTGAATTAAGGATCCCTCTGGATATATGCCCAGGAGTAGGACTGCTGGATCATATGGTAAGTCTATTTTTAGTTTTTTGATGAGTCTCCATACTGTTTTCCACAATGGCTGCACCAAACTGCATTCCCGCCAGCAGTGCAGGAGGGTTCCCTTTTCTCCACAGTCTCTCCAGCATTTGTCATTTGTGGACTTTTGAATGATGGCCATTCTGACTGGTGTGAGGTGATACCTCATTCCCAAACACATTCTATAAAGCCACTGTCACCCTGATACCAAAACCAGACAGGCACTACCAAAAAAGAAAATTGCTCATGTCTTAATAACGTGTTACAATGCCTCCTCACTACTTTTTGAGCTCCTTCCTCTCTTGCTTACTGAGCTGGCTGGGGTAACTTGAGAATGTCAATCAAGGGAGGTAGAAAATTAATTCGTTTGAAATAACTGGCCTTTGCTCATTGTATAAGCTAGGCATGACCTTGAAACCAGGGACAAAGACAAGAAAACCAAACTGCTGGCCCATCTCACCTATGAAGCTGGACTGCTGACGAAACATTAGCAAACTGAATCCCAGAGCGTACAAAAATGAAGATAACCAATACCTAGGAGTTACCTACCAATACAAGGAAAATTTAATGTTTGAAAATCTGAAAATATCATTGTTTTGAGAGGAGAATCATCTCAGTAGAAGTCAAGAAAGCATCTTATAAAATTAACCATGATGAAAAATAAAAACTTTCTTATTAAACTAGGAGTAAGAGTAAATGTTCTTCACCTGATAAAGGGTACCTTAAAATATACATAATGAATCATTCTAGTGATGAAACATGGGAATATCCACTTTAAAATCAGCAATAAGACAAGAATGCCCCATATTTCTATGCTTCTTTTTTACATTGTATAGAAAAAGGAATCACATAGAACAGAAAAAGGGAAATTTGTCATTATATGCAGATATGCAAATATTTGTGTCTACACATCATATTGTTTGTAGATATTATAATCTATAGAAATAACACTAATGTCTATAAATTATTATTAATAGATATTTAGCAAGTTGGCTGGGCATAACATTGATTTACAAAACTGAACAGCAAAACAAAATTTGTATTAGAAAAAAAATCTGTAAGTTACTTTAGAACAAATCTGAGAAATTGTGTTTGAAACCCAAACACAGAAAATCTAGAGCAAATACATGGGTGGATATCCTGTGTTTATGAGTAGAAAATCATAATAGCATGAACATGCAAATTCTCTCTGAATGGATCTCTAGATTTAAGGCAGCTCCAATCAGAATTGCAACTTGACGCTTGAATTCTAATGTGTATGGTGAAGATTGAAGGACTGAGAATAGCCATGAATATTCTAAAGAAGAATAAGGTGGGAGGGCGGATTCGTCCAGCAGATATCAAGCATTATCATGAAGCTCTAGCAAGTAAGATGGTGTGGTGTTGGGCTGAGGATAACAAACAGCCAGTGGAGCAGGATGGAGGACCCAGAAACAGAACCACAGAAGCATAACTCACACACGACACAGGACAGAGTTGGGATGGGACATCACTGGTTGAAGGGGAGACTGTTCAGTAAATGGAGCTGAAAAAGCTGTTTTTCCTTTGTCGTTGTGGGAAGTAGAACAAGACCCCTACCTCACACCATACACAAAAGTCAACTCTACTTTGACAGAAAATAGAAATATCATAACAAACTTTAAAAGTTTTAGGAGAAAATACAGGTGATTATTTTTCTGATCTTGGGGTAGGAGAAAGCTTTCTTAAACAATACACCAAAAACCCTACACTATAAAACACGGATGCATTTGGCAAGCTAGAAAAAAGATGGTATTAACAGCACATGTAACTAATACAGATGGTATAAAACAAACTTGTAGAAAATATTGAAGAAAAAGACAACTGAGTTATAAAAATTCGGTAAAGACATGGACAGGCCTTTTAGAGAAGAGGAAACACAGGGGCTAATAAACTAAGAGGAGATGACAAACCCCACTGGAAGCCAGGAACATGCTGGACACAGTGAAATACCCATGTACACCCACGTCTCCCTGGCAAGATTATGAAGTCTGATAGTGCCAAGTATTGAAGAGGAAGTGAAGCAATAGTATGCTTCACACGTTGCTGGTGAGGGTGGAAATTGTTACAACCACTGTTGAAATCAATTTTGTAAATCTGAGCATTAGCACACCCTACAGTCTCGCGGTTCCAACTCTCTCTGGGATCCCGCGCAGAGAGAGGCTCGCGAACGCACGGGACAAGTCACGGACCCAGAATGAGCAGAACAGCGCTGTTTCCAACAGCAAAACATTGGAAACATCCCAACTGCCTGTGTCGATCGGAGCCCATTCACACTTGGACTGCCACACAAAGGTGAAAAGGAATGCTGCTGCCTTAAAAATAGGATGCGTTGTAGGCATCTCATGATGTTGCATGAGGAAGCAAGTTCCAAAAGACTTCATGTAGCATGAGAGCCTTTCTACATAGTTTTAAAAATGCCCAGCTGAACAAATTATTGTTTGGCCTACGTGTGAATGTCATAAGAGTTATTTTTAAAGAGCAAAGTACCAAATTTAAGGCAGTAGTTGCCTCTGAGGAGAGAGGCCGAGTGGTCAGAGGGGAAGTGCACATATGGAGGTACTGGTTGTCGGAGGTGTTCCTGGGCTCGGGCTGGCGGGGCGTTCAGGGTGTGCATCATGTAAGACGGACAGACAGACAGACAGATGGCCATACATGGACCAGTGATGACATTGTAAACTGAATCTAGGATTGCGCCGAGAAAGAAAGAAAGAAAGAAAGAAAGAAAGAAAGAAAGAAAGAAAGAAAGAAAGAAAGAAAGAAAGAAAGAAAGAAAGAAAGAAAGAAAGAAAGAAAGAAAGGAAGAAAGAAGAAAGAAAGAAAGGAAGAAAGAAAGGAAGAAAGAAAGGAAGAAAGAAAGAAGAAAGAAAGAAAGGAAGAAAGAAAGGAAGAAAGAAAGGAGAAAGAAAAAAAAGAGAAAAGAAACTTGCCCTGTGGTGGTTTAGCTGCTACATGTCCAGAAGCTCAGGGACAAATGGACAGTTTATACATCTTGTGGATTGGCCTCAGTTTCCAAATCCATCTTCCAAGATTGTCAGACACTCTCCATTAAGAGATGTAAGATTGAAAGGCGTTGAAATAAAAGGCCGTACAAGTCTTTCGGACAGTCCTGATTGTCCCCACCCCAAGCAAATGCATCTTCTGCTCTGCATGACTCCGGAGCCCAGGTGGAGAGTCTGCACGGGGCGCACGCAGTTTCAACAACTTCTTTCAAACTGTTTTGGTTTCATCTGGCCACCAGAAGCAGCGCTGCGCTCCCCGGGTTGCTTGCAGGTGAGGCCACAGTCTGTGCTCAGTAAACACGCACTGTCTGAAGCAGTCCCTGCTGACATGCAAAGCATTTCCTTCCCAGACATGACAGTGACCCTGCCTGTCCCCTGCCCTTGGCCGACACACGCTGACCCTCTTTAAGGGGTTTGTGGTGACGGACTGTTCGTGTCACGCGAACGCTGACCCGCCGGGCCTTTCCCGCAGTGATGCTAACAACCCTGCTCATTTCTGTTCCTGCGTTTACCTTGTGTTTCCATCTAACTTATGGTCTATACTGAAGGTGTCTGATTATCAATTATTAAAGCAACCGGTTCAGGCTCAGATAGTGAGTCCTTGAGCAAACAGTTTAAGTCACTCAAAGAAAGAGGCTGGCAGAAAACAGCACGTTAATGAACAGAGTTGCCTCTCTGAGGCTTTTATTAGGAG